ACAAAGCATGCAATTCATGTCATGCAATTGCTTCGCACACTATCCTGTAAAACACCTAAAGGCTATGCTCGAGACTGATAAGATTTCTTTGGATTTATTTCTTTGGATGTTTGCCCTTCTATCACGGTGACACGGCTATTATTTATTCTTAGTCGTTATTAGGAAGTCGCTGCTGCCCATCTGATTTCTTTCCCTTTGTCGCTTCTTACAAGACCCACGGTATAATATGGGGTAGTGGATATTCTTACACCGTCACTACACGGCAACGTCACTCACACGCTAAATAGCAGTTAATACGTACTAAAGTTTAATTTATACCCAGCGTAACGGTCGAGTATAAGAGGATATAATATTCTAGATTATATTATTACATAATATATTATTTTTAAATATTTTACGAAGACAAAAACCCTTTTAAATTACCGTCCCGCTCCGTGTCACGATTGTTCGGCATAGTACGAAAGTATCATAAACATTGATAAAATCTATCGCCTTGTTTTAACTGCCGAAATATCGGTTTCAGACAAAACAGTTTTCCGAATTGAAGAGCGGTGCTGGATCACTAATTGTGTAAATATAGCTTGCATTTGACCGATTTAGTTAAGGTCAAACAAATCACCTTTCCCAATTAAACATAAGTACTAAACACCTCCTTATTTCCTTAAAATATTTCTTACAGATGCTCTTAAAAATACTCAAATTTTCTTCCGAACTAACCAAACAAAAAATTACAGACCAACCAAAAAACATTGTTATCTCAATTTATAAGAAACGGTAAAGAATATTCTTCATACATTATCAAAACTAATTGCATTAATTATTCACTCTCCGCCGCTTAAAAGGTATGCTCCAGCTCTCACATCCTGCGGAGTTTGCACCCCGAGGCGGCCCCCTAATGGGATACTTAAATTTCTAGTATCTTCATTACTCGAGAGAGACTTGACGGTTCCCCAGCTGTGAAGTATGTTACGTTATAGATATTTTTTTTAGAATAAAGGTGACAAACGAGCACACAGTCCACCTGATGGTAAGTGGTTGCTGTGGCCCATAGACATCTATATCTATCTTCGTTTGCGAATTAAAATGCAGATGCGTTGTCAGCCGTGAGGACTAAGATAGAATACCTATTTTCCAGTAAAATGGGTCTCCGGTTCTCTACACTCACCATACGAAACACAGCAGCATTAAGCTGCTATTTTACGCTGGTAGTCTGTGAGAACGTGGTCCTTCCCCGGTCGAGCCGACCCATTTATGCTACAACTATACTATTAATATAGCTGCAGCATGGCTCTACCACGTAAAACTAGATGATATCCAAGATATTGTTGATGTAGTATTTTAAAATAAAAATATTAGAAAGACACAGAATTTTCATTTTCGCCTACCAAACAATCTTTACTACGTAGCTTATTCTGTGCCTAGGCACAGAATAGATAATAGTACAAGTGGCCTAAGAGCCCATCTGTAGCTTACTATATCTGACATCAAGCAGCTGCGTTCCAGTTTGAAAAATACCTAATTGGGGCAGTACAAAATATTCCATCCTAGTTCTTGACTTCTCGGCTGCAGTTCTCCAAGAGCAACATTATTCCGAGGTAGAACCATACTGCAGCTATGTTAGTAGTATAGTTGTAGCACGTATGATTCGGCTCGATCGGGAAAGGACCACGCTCGCACAGAATACCAGCGTAAAATAGCAGCTTAACGCTGCTGTTTCGTATGGTGAGTGTAGAGAACAGAAGACCCTTTTTACTGGAAAAGAGGCATTCTATACGTCTACGGTTCACAGCAACCACTTACAATCAGATGGACTGTGTGCTCATTTGTCATCCTTACCCTTAAAAAAACAGTGTACAATACTATCTGGTGAACATTTAGCTCGTTTTCACTCCAATATTATAAAAAAATAAAACACCCCACCAAGATTATTCATTTATTATTGAGTTTAAATTAATTTTTAAATTAATTTCCTAGTTAATGATTCTCAACTATCGGCATAACTCCCATTTTCTAGCCAGTTTCTCTTATTATGTCTACTTATTATGTTTACAACGATGTTGAATGAGTGAAGAATCAAGCGAAACCTCGAAAAGCGACCTCATAATAATTAGGATATTTATCATGTTACTGTGGCTATTTTTAATCTCTTTACGTAAACAACTAAGTTGTTTACGTAAAGAGTAAACCCAGCCATGCTTTATAACTCTAATCTATAAACTTTCACTTCACTTTTATGACGATTTCGTATATTTGTAAAAGTTAGACGTGAATAAATTGCCCAAAGATTAGTTGCAGCGATTGAAAAATAGAAAGTTTACAAAAACCCACGCTACGCGAGAATCAATTTGTAGTGCTCAAAGGTATTTTCTTAAATAAAAAAGTAGCAAAAGGAATATAATTTGAATCAAAGAAAATAATTACGTTTAATACATATTTTAATATCTTATGTGCTCGGCTCTAGCATAGACACTAGTCTTTTAAGTTTCATTGCTTAAATTAAATATTGACGGAAGCAGAAGCCAGGCTTACGCGCGGTTACCGCACGTAATTAATTTAGCACAGATAAATAATGTCATAATATTTTGTGCGCAACTCTAAGCGAAAACCGAATTCTTTTTTTTTTAATTTTAGTTTTTCAATATGATAGAGCTCCATTGTTTAAATTAAATATAGATAGAACAATGTTTGCCACCTTTGTATAATTGTCGGACTTACGCGCGCTTAACGCACGTAATTCATTTAGCACAGATAAGTAAAATTAGATCGCTTCGGCCAAGGTTTGTTATCAATGATGATTGATAACTGCGTGTTGCTTAGCTGCAGCTTGTGAAATACATTAATAATGAAAAATACCTGAATAGTTTTTATAAACCAAGAACTAAATATATTTCGTTGTCAACTTTAATCAACGTAATTAATGTTTTTTTTTTTTTACTTATTATAAGCCAATGTTTGACAACAATCCCACCCACCTGATGATAAGTGGTGATAAACCACACTACACCCATATAACGCATTTTGTATTCTATGCACCATATTTTAGTCCTTTGAAAATAAAAAAAGTGGCCAAGTGCGTGTTGGTACATGCATATGGTAGGTTTCTGATGTGGTTGTGATGTGTAAATATTTTTTCTTGTATGTGCAATTTGATTCGATGTTTTACTACAAATGTAGAATTTTACACGACAGAAATAATTTCCCAAAAAAATTGATCTATTCTATCTATATGACAAAAACAAAAGAAAAATCCTGCAGATCTACGGATATTTTGAAATAGCATCTACGGAATTCTACGGAAATTTTTATACCAATCTACGGATTTGGAAAAATTCGAGTTGCTAACACTGCCTCTGAGACTTAAATTCAACACTCAGCAAAAATGCAGAAAAGCATAATCTGCCTATACATACCTATCTACAATAAGTTACCTAATGATATAAATAAAATAAATAATATACAAAACTTCAAAAAAAAAACATTAAAAACTTTAATTTAAAGTTTTAAAGTATTAAAAACAAAGTTAATTGATAAATCTTATTATTTTCCACCGGCTTCAAAAAGGACACGGTACTCAATTCGACTGTAAGTTTTTTTTTTATGTGTGTTACCTCGTAACTTTTTACTGGGTGAATCCATTTCGATGATTCTTTTTTTATTTGTAAGCTGGTGCTTCACGTGAGGTCCCATATAAATTTGGTCAAGGTCTGACCAATAGTTTTTGAGTTATTCTTAATCATTTATATTGAAGTCGGTTGTACAAAATTTTTAATTTTAAATTATATCAATCTATCTTAATGACATAAGAATTAAATAATTACTTTGTATACTTAATGTTACAATATTTGTATTTGATTCGACGTACTATTACTAGTATGGACCACAGAACACTAATACCCTTAGGCGGGGTATGGACATAATATTATGACAACCGCATGACATTAAACTTGTATTTTTTTTTAATTTTACGTGATATTAACTTGGATTAGGAAGTTATATTTATTTTGTTGTTGACACATGTGTTTAATATTAATGATAATTTGAATAAATGACATTTTGATTTATTTGATATAATATTCTTTTTTTTTAATATAGTATGTGTCATGGGCGGCGTTGCACTATGTTTTCAACCTATTATATACAAACCAAGAATTTTGTGAATATTTTCTAACACCTGCACTGAGAATTATTTTGCTTTTAGATCTTTAATTTATTTACTTGTATTGTTTTTATATTTTAATAAAATATTTCATTTATATTTTTGTTCTTTATATTTTAGTGCTTTTTTTTTTTGGGAACGTATACAGTAAAAGTATCTAATACATTTGAGAACAAATATATCGTATCTTATTTGTTTACATTTACGAGTACATGCCTGTAAAGTAAAAAGTTAAAAGTCAAAGATAATACGATTCCCCGGAATGTACTATAGTTGGTTAATAAAGAGGTCAAATGTATCGAGACTAGTAACAGATAAATAGTAAAAATAATAAAAAGTATGTTATTTTAAATTATTTTTGATTATTTTTTTATTTAAAGTAAAAAGTAAAGTTTCAGCGTATTTACGTCCCACTGCTGGGCACAGGCCTCCTCTTTTTTCTGAGAGGGTTTTAGGGCAAAGAAATGTCCGCCACGCTGCCCCATCGCGTGTTGGCGAACTTCACATGTCTTCAAAATATATTTTTTCTTATATCTCAGACATGCAGGTTTCCTCACGATGTTTTCCTTCACCGACGAGCACGTGGTAAATCAGCACTTAAAATTGCAATTAACAATCTCATTGCTGCCGGCGGGGATAGAACCCGGGTTGCTCGAGTACTGTGAAGCTTACAGCGAGCGCTAACCATCTGAGCTACCACGGCTGTTTTTATTTAACAAATACATAATTAAGATCTATAACTAACAAATCGTTAAAGTTAAGTACGCCATACAAAGATCATAAAATTTCAATAAAACTAAAGCATATCTAAACACTGTAAAAAAATATATATAATAAAACTTACGTCCAGAACGCGTTCCCTGCGACATGACTACTGCACTCCTCTGATCAGGGCGCAGGAGACTCTCGGCCTCCGCGCCTCCTTGATGGGACATCTCCATGACGATTCACACGGGCACCGCAAATATCATAACACTGATACAGACATCTGTGTACAGGCCTCGTCCTTGTTCAACTGGATCTATAGAACAGAAAAAACCTGTTACTCTTTCGGACAGAAATTTCCTAGTAGAACTTTATCTCCGGGCAAGTTATCTCCTCTAAAATGTAATAAATTATGATAAAATATAACTTAAGTATTAAAACATTAAGAGCTTGTGTTGAAAATTATTTTTTTATTAATTCATGAAACTTATAGTTCTATTTTTCAACCGTCTTCAAAAAAGAAAGAGGTTCTCAATTCGATTGTAATTTTTTAACCTTCAGAACTTTTTTCTAGGTGAACCGATTTTGATGGTTCTTTTTTTATTTGAAAGCTGGTGCTTCTCCTGTATTCCCATGTAAATTTGATCAAGATCTGACCAGTAATTTTTGAGTTATCCTAAATAATACGTATTTAATTAACTTCGAATACACTGATGATGTACTAATTTTATTTATATTGAAGTCAGTTGTAAAAAAATAATAATTTTACCGCTTTTATTTTACCTTTTTTTATTTGAAACGACACTAACCTAATGGTAGGGCGTGCACTGCAAACTCAGACAGTCATGGGTTCGAACCCGACTTTCGACTACTGTGGTGAACGACTCCTTAACCTTAACACGAGCATTTTTAAGCTTACGCAAATGTCAGTAATGTTAATAGGATTACTTATAATCTTTTTTTTTTTAATTAAAAGGTTAAGAAATATTTTCTTGAGGTTCCATAGATATAAATAACATTGGAAGCGCTAGACATGACTTGTGTATTACATATAGAGAGAGGTTTTCTAGGGAAAATTTGCCGCAATGTAATACTCACGCTCAGATAAGCTATTGGCAGATTGGCAATCGTAGTACCACATGTGAGTAATTCTTGTAGAGAATTATATAATCTTTATATATAAGAATTACGTGTCACATTGTTTGTCCGCGATGAAATCCTAAACTACTGAACTGATTTTCAATGAAATTTGCACACTGTATGCAGTTTGGTCCAACTTGAGAGATAGGATAGTTTTTATCCTGCTAAGTGACACTCCATATTTTTTTTGTTACGAATTTAAGGATTTTTTATAGGAAGGGTCGTCGGAAAGGGCAGAACAACGTTTGCCTGGCGAGCTAGTAATTACAATAAAATATAATAATTTTCTTCATTCTGTTTAGTAAAGTTGTATTTTTGTGTGTATCTTAATTTTTTATAGAATAAGGATGACAAACGAGTGCACAGTCCACCTGATACCCTGATAGTAAGTGGATGCTATCGTCCATAGAAATTTACATTTATCCTCGATTAAGAATGAAAATGCAGATGCGTTGTCACCCTTGAGAACTAAGATAGAATGCCTGAATGTCTGCAATGTGATCTCTAATGAAAATGTTGTTTACCTTTTTTTATAATCAATTAAATGAAATAAGTTGATGATGATGATAAAGATGTGTTCAGTTCCAAAAACCAAACAATAACACAAAGCTGAACCTTTAATGATACATCGTGTAGCAGTCGTTTTATGCAACCTTTTAGAGACTGATAGACCTTCTAACATTTCCTATAGATAAACATTTCTAACTGGATCTGATTCGTAACCATGAGACGACTTATCAATCTATATTTCAAATATTCAAGCTCCAAGCCGATAAATTATTACTGATACTACCTAGAACACGTTTACATCTGCGCTCTGCATATCAGGAGTTATTCCACCTCTAAAAGTGCAAATAAAGAGACTCGAACAATTTAAATAAATGTTTCTTTGTAATTACTTCTCATAGCAACAGGCAAACATGTTTGGCAATAGATACATTATCACATTTTTATCTAACTAAATTTGAATTACATAATCTCTGGTGATAAAAGTGCCATATTTGTATCAGTCAGTGAATTTATGTTTTTGTAATATAATTTTATTTATAAAAAATACCAAATTTATTTTAACATTTCCAATTTTAAATACCAACTAGTTCGTACATTACCTAACTTTTTATGAGAATAAAGGTGACAAATGAGCACACAGTTCAACTCTGGTTCGACTGATAGTAAGTGGCTGCTTTGGCTTATAGATACATACATATCTATCCTCGATTGAGTATGAAAATGCATTGACATCCCCGTGGACTATAATATATTTTTATAAATATTACATATATTATAAAAAAAAAGATGAGTGACAAAATATGAGCATACAGTCTACCTGATGGTAAGCGGATGCTGTAGCCCACAGACACCAACATCCATCGTCGATTAAGAATCAAAATGCAGATGCGTTATCACCCCTAAGGACAAAGATGGAATGCCTCGTTACTAGTAAAAATGGTTCGGTTCTTGCCACTCACTATATAAACACACTTGCATTATGCCGATATTTCACGCTAACTCTACGTGGTAGAGCCATGCTGCAGCTATATTATGGTTGTAGCACGAATGGGTCAGGTCGACCGGGGTAGAAACACGCTCGCAAAGAATACCAGCGTGAAATAGCAGCTTAACACTGCTGTGTTTCGTATGGTGAGTGTAGAGAACCGGCGACCCTTTTTACTGGAAACGAAGCATTCCATCTTTGTCCTTAGGGGTGATAACGCATCTGCATTTTCATTCTTAATCGACTATAGATGTTGGTGTCTGTGGGCCACAGCATCCGCTTACCATCAGGTAGACTGTGTGCTCATATTTTGTCACTCTTAATTTTTTTTTAAATATATATATTTTAAAAAATTCTGTGCGAGCGTGGTCTGTCCCCGGTCAATCGAACTCATACGTAAATTACGCCACAGTGTGGCTCTACCATGAAAATATATTATACGTACTTCAAAATATGTTATATATAACACTTCAACGCTAAAATAAAGGCATATATTATGTAATAAGCGGCAAGGCGCATAGATGTAATCAAAATATGACTATTGTTTTAATAACATTGCGTGTAGCGAGTCCTAGCCGTAATTGAATCATCAATTGACAGCTGACCTAACGACGCGTGGATTGCAAGAATATAAATGCCTAATTCAATTTAAGATTTGTGTCGTAGTGTCATGTCGTGCGAGTCACTTAGGCTTCCTATACATGAAGTCAGAACCACAACGGCGATGCACCGCAAGATTTTTTTTTTATAGGATCGGGTGACAAACGAGCACACAGTCCACCTGATGGTAAGTGGTTACTGTGACCCATAGACATCTACATCTATCCTCAATAAAGACTCAAGATGCAGATGCGTTGTCACCCGTGAGGACTAAGATGGAATGCCTCTTTGCCAGTAAAAAGGATCTCCGGTTCTCTACACTCACCATACGAAACATAGCAGCGTTAAGCTGCTATTTTACGCTGGTTTTCTGTGAGAGCGTGGTCCTTCCCCGTTCGAGCCGACCCATTCGTGCTACAACCATAATATAGCTGCAGCATGGCTCTACCACGTAGACAATTTATTAATTTATATAAAGAATTTATATTTTATATAAAGAAAAATCGTGTACGGATCGCCACCGCACCGCAGCCGTGTTGTGTGCGTGAGCACTGGGAATTGAAGAGAACCGGAAACCTTTTTAACTGGTAACAAAGCATTGCATCTAAGTCCCCAGGAGTACAGAATAAATAATAGCCAGGATGACAAACGCATTAACATTTAGAATCCAAATCGAGATATAGTTACGTGGTCGTTGATCACTCCTACTTCCTTATAAAAAAAACACAATGAAATTTTCCCGTTTGTTTTTTTTGTGATCGTCGTCTTATCTATGATACTACACTCTATCCTACTTTAAATAACATTGCCTAGCACATCGAGTGTAGTTTCGACGAGTGTGTGTAGGCTTGTAGCACTGTATGCCATGCGCAGTAGCTGCAGTTTGTGGAATTATTCAAGTTTTTACAAAAAATTATTCAAAATGGGCTATCGATATCGCTATCATGACATCACCATCATAATTAAGATATCAACAAGTGACAATCTATCAAATCAATGATACTCTGCACAACGGCTTCGGCAACGCCCGAAGCCGAAAATACTGAAATAGTTATTACAATGGTTGGGATACGGTCTGCGCTGCGCCTGACCTAAAAACAAATAGAATCGAGAGCTGGCAAAATTTCGGTTAGTTACTATAGTACTGATTCAAGTGCCTACTGCAAGGAGACATTAAAACGCCTCAACAAAGAAAAACCTCATGCAAATTGGATTCTTTGTTGTTGAATCGTAACCGGACAATTGAACTTTGCCCTGTGAATTATGGCAATAAAGTGCGTCGTTTTGAATGTATAATATTGTCTAATTTCTTATTTAAAAATGCTATATTTGAAGGCCCCTATAAATGAAATGGATTTTTTAAATGAAATGGACACAAAAGAATTTCTTTAATATTACTGATATCGTATTTACGTCAGTAGTAATTTTAATCTACAATTAATACGATATTACATTCTGTTTCCCTCTCTCTCTCTCTCTCCTGCTTTACTTTTTTTATAGAAGAAGGGGCAAATGACCATGCGGTTCACCTGATGAAAGATGTCGACGGCCGCCCATGAACAACTGCAACAGCAGGGGAATTGCAGGTACTTTGCCCTCCTTTAAAATACGAGTAAGCTCGTTTGAGATGCATCATTTCAGAGACAAATAATAAGAAATTTATTTCAATTGTTTCTAAAGGTATTCACAATTCACAATAGCTCTGTTTATGTATGAAAATATTTAAATTAAGGATTAATAGTTTATCTGTAGAACAGACTATAATTTAGAGTTTATATTTGCATTTATAATTTATATCAAATATATCGAAAGTAGACCGTCGCAATTATGACAATTAACCAGCAGTTAACCCATTTTTTTTTCAACGCATTGTTTCAAATGTCTAAGAAAAAGCATTCTAGACAATGGAACATTTTTGCAATTAAAATTAACTGTATTTTTCTGCATAAACTTTTCTTTGCATATATTTTTACTTGCATGGATTTGTGACGGCACATACAA